ACCCACTATCTTAAAGACAAAAAAGTCCCATCGAAAACGGGTCAATCGTTTTGAAGATTTGCCCGCACAAAAAATTAAAGACGTTTATCTCAACTGTATGCGTGGTTTTAAAGTATAAAAAATATTTTATGAAAATTATTTCTCTTTTCTACATTAAAAAAAAAATTCGTTATATAAAAATATCACTTATTCATATAGATACAATTTTTTGCCGAGTACCTACTCTGATATAAACACCAATGAATTAGTTAATTCAATTAATACTTTTATTTTAACAATAACAGGTACAGTGGTACAGCGGACATAATTTTTTCTCACCAACTTGCATCGTTTAGAAGTAGGTAATTATAAGAAAATATTCAAAAATTAAATACTTTGCCTGAAAATTCAGTACGAAAAATATTAGCACAGCTTTGATTAAATTAAAGACCATATGATTCTTCTCTAGTGTAATGTACAATTAATTCATATTCTAAAAAAACTAGTCTCGAGTGTCGTAGTATTCAAATTTTTTAAATTAAATTGAAATTGTTAATAGATACCAGTAGATGTACTAATATAAATTTTAAGATATTTTTACATATATGTGCAGAATTAGCTTTATTGGCTGAGGATTCATGAGTGCAGGAGTAGGCCTATGATGAGGTTCATGTTTATAATGGTTTTAGCTTTTATTATCTATTTAAAGTTTAAATAATACAGAAGTAAGTAATTTTGTTCTGTATTGTGTTTGACAATTCTTATATCCCAAAAAAATAAAGGAAAGGTTAAAATTGTACCCACCATGGTAACCATTAATGGCATATGTACTTTTGAACAGCATGTATAATAATAGAGGAGGGTAGTACTATTCTAGCAGGTGGTAGGACGTCGCGTTTCCCTTTAGCAGATGGTTTTTACCCTCACTTTGATCTGATCGATATTGTATGTGTGTGAATCTACTACACAGTTATACGATACCTCATGAAGAAATTCATAATTTATTTGACTGCAACTGGTTTATTAAAAAAATTGTAGTAATTCTGAAATAACAATTATCAAAATTTTAACAGTTTATAATAATAAAAATGAATTGACACTGTTTTTCAAATATATTTTACGTTTGAGATAACAAAAATATTAGAATTCATTGCCGTAATAGAATGTTCTCCTGTAGCCGTCTCCGCTAACCCTCTCAAGCGGTTATCAAATTCCACTGATTGTTGACAAAATTGATAAGTACCATGTTTTATTCTTTTTATTACCAATTTGGATACGTTTCGTATTCAGGTAAGGAAAACAGTTTTCCGAACATAGAAGTCACATATTTTTTTATTGGAATTTTTTCTTTTTATGTCGACAAGCGAAAATCCATAATTTGGTGAACGTGTCGAATATAAATATTTTTTAAATTAATTGACAATACAATTATTCGAACAAAGCGTAACACCCCTACAACGCTTTAAGTTGTCTTTTATTATTAAATATAATAGAATATATCTCTTACGTTCGGTTCTCATTTCGCCACTAGTGTATTATACATATGTACTTACACCTGCTTTTTGTGCAACTGTGGCATGGCAGACGTGTGGACTATGCCCGTGGAAAACTGGCAAGTAAATAAATAGAAAGAGACATAGACGTCTCTAATTTTGTGTTATGGTAATTAAAAATGAATATCGAAATGACGTAAAATAAAGTTTTTAGCTTGATAGCAAGGTTAAAGTCGCAAAAAATGTTTCATGTATAGGGATGCGTCAAATGGGAGGAGCCTAAAAACATGGCACCGATTAGGGAAAATTTATCATAGTTCCTATAGTGTACCGTGCAATTTGCAAGTTTTTAAATTACAATAAAATGATAAGTATTGACACAATATGTGATTGGGCTGACACAAAGCCTCGGAAAGGAAATTTCGTTGAAGGTGAGCGTGTTTTTAATGCCAATCACATTATAAAATTCGGAAATAACAAATCCGGAAGCTAGCCTTCAAATTCCGTCAAGTTTACTGCCTACTTTTTACAAACTTCGGATTTAAAAAGTGATTCACGTTATATAATTGGTGAGGTGATTCTGGGTGATTTAAGCAATATCATATCAATGACTTGCACGTGCAAAGCCGATTTAAGAGAACGTTGCAAACACATTATTACAACTTTGTTGTATTGCAGCAGGTAGGTTCTTAACCTCAAAATACTTATATCGTATCATTAGAATTGTGTTAAATCAATTACACAGGAATAAATAATTTCTCACTTTATAATTTTAGTATGATTCTAGTTTTAAATATTAAGGTTATGGCTGATGGTAAATACTTGCTGAAATATAATCATGTGCATTAAAATGACGTGAACAAATTTTTATTCCGGAATTCACTTCTTTGATACCTACTGCTTTCATCCAAGCTTCTATTAGTTTACTTTTTTCTCTAATTTTCCGAATATATTTTTTACATATATAAAACGGTTAGTTTTTATTGGAAAGTAGTTAATGTAGGTGAAGAGTGAAGATCTATGTCTGAAGTGCTATTGCAGCTTTTCACTGAACATATTAACTTTTTATTTGATTTAACTTTAGAAGAAAACTTCGTCGACTCCATCATCAAAAAATTTTTTACTTTTTTAACGTGTTTTATTATTTTAATAAACAATTTTACAATTTGCGTGCACAGTTCCTATGTAAATTTTTCCCTCTTTCGAGTTATAAATTTTGCCACCAAATGGTGTATGCCCATTTGACGGATCCCAATAGAGTTTTTTCTTTGCACGAA